CCCCCCAAACCCTTCATTCCCCTGTCTTTTTTCACCCTCTTCTTCTCACTGCAAACCCTTCAAGGTGAGTCATTATCCAATACCTCTCTATTTCTTCTGGTTTACGCCCTGGAATTCTGCCTGCTATCAGATCCCACCTGATATGGAAAGCCATTTTCTTAGAAACTTTGATACTACAGGTAATTGGAAAGCAGACAAGGAGAAAAAGAGTAGAATCCATCTCCATTATTCTTAGAAATGTGGGAAACTCTATAAATCTGGGTTTTGCTTTGAACACAACTTACCTATCTCCAATCAGCTTATGCATTCTATGGATGAGATCTTCCTCCTGTGCTGTCATCGTTATAAACTGCCACCTAGTGCTGCTGACTTCTGTTAGATAACAGGCCACAAATTTCAAAAAAGGTGAGAAAATCATGAAGAAGAGACCAACTTCATGATGAGTAATTGGAGATAGAAAAAATAGAACATCAAGTATAGATGAAAGGAACCTTCAGACTCTAGTGGAGTTGTTTTAGCTTGTTGCTGGCTACGATGGTTGTCCATGTTCCCCCCCAAAGATTAGAGGCAGCACAAAAACAGGAAGATAGAGAACTGGGAATGAAAAGAATTTTAGGAAAAACTATGATAGAGAGATCTGAAACTTCCACAGGGAAATTTAAGTTCATGTGAATGCTGCCTATATTTTCTTCTGCCCACCAAACTTTGGGGAGTAAGTTTGTTGGTTTGACTTGTTGGGTTGGTAGACTTGTAGTTGACAACTTACAGAAGGGATTAAAATATTGAAATCTTAGAGAGAGAGAGAGAGAGAAAGAGAGGGGAAGGCCAAGGTCATGTAGTGTAGTTTCATTCTTTTAGGATTAAGAGGACACCAACTAAACTTGAAATGGGTACCTAAAACTCTTTGATATGTCACTGTGATTGTTTTAGGCAGAGCAGAGCGTTGTAATCTTCACCCAAAATACAACATTCAACTGGTAGTTGGGGACCTGGGGAAGTGGTCTAGTGTGTCTGTGTTCAATTCAGCTAACCTTCTTCCCCAACTGGACACACAAATTCAGATACAGAGAGTGGGGAGATATGACACATCTTATCCTGAAGTTCTGCTCAGTATTCCAATTGCAGCAGCCTCCCTCAGGAAGGACATGCAAATGAATACAAAATTATTTTGTCTGTTCAGAAATGTGTATATTCATCCCTTTCTTCCCATGCTTCCTAAGCTTTCTTCTCACCCACACACCATGAGAGGGATGGGTAATAATAGGAAGAGGATTATGCAGTGAGCGAGGCAAGGCAGAGGCAGAGGCAGGCAGAATAATGTCAAAATCATCAATGGTACTGCACAAGCTTCAAATCAACAAGAAGACAAGTTTTGTAGGCCTTTTCACCCATTTAAACTTCACCCATCTTCTCTCTCTACTTGCACTTGCAGGCTTAGCTTTAACTATTTACATCCATTTTACTACACATTATCTCCATGATTATCTCTCCATTTCCTTTTTTTTAAGCTTTTGTTGGTTTTTGGATGCATTCATATCATTATGCAATAACACCATTGGATAAGACTCCATTATATGCTCCACTAATCTTTCTAAGATTATGGAAATGGTTGATTTGTTTCCACTGAGATAATAAGTTAGACTGTTGTTGATGAATAGTTGATCTTGTATGTTGCTGACGAGTATTCATCTTATCACATCGCCACAAGCAATATGATAGTATCCCTAATAGTTTCTAGATATACTAACAATGAGTATTTCAGTTTTAGTTGTTTTTTTGTTTGTGTTATGAATAGTCTACTTTATGGACATGATATATAAACGTATAGACTTTTGTAAATTGTTGAGTGACTTGATTTGTTTATCTTTATGTTAGTACACATAATAAGTTAAAAGATTATGCTATTGATGAATAGTTGGCCATGCATGTTGCTAGTACTCATCTTATCACATCACTATGAGTAATATGATGGTATCCCTAAAGTTAAAGGTTTTTAAACATTGATGGTTTGGCGTTTAGTTCTTTTTTGTTCTTGTTAGGTTTGATGAATAGTTGTCCAAATGAGTACTCATCTTAACGCATTGATACGAGTTATACGGTGGTATCTCTAAAGGTTTTTAGATATACCAATGGTAAGTATTTGAAAATTGAGTTCTTTTCGGTTCGTGTTAGATTTGATGAATAGTTGACTCCGCATATTACTAATGAGTACTCATCTTATCACATAGTTTCGAGTAATATGGTGGTATCCCTAAAGGTCTTTAGATATACATATGAGAGGTATTTGTGCATTTAGTTTTTTTTTTTTTTTTTTTTTTCGTGTTAGGTTTGATGAATTGTTGACCGTGCACGTTACTAACGAGTACTCAAGTCACACGGTGGTACCCCCAAAGGTTTTTAGATGTAAGTATTTCAGTGTTTAGTTCTTTTCGGTTCGTGTTAGGTTTGTACTTTAGAAAGAAAATCTCGAAGCCGAGATTAACCCTAATCCCTTGCCTTAATGTTATCCCTAGTTAACGAGAAGAAATTAAATATAAATATAAATGAATAAATAAGTAAATAAAAATTTAAATGCATTCAAGCTAGGTTTCCACGTAGAGGAAATCTTTCAAATCAAACCATATAAAAAGAGGAAAATATATATATTTTATTTAAAGGAAAAGAGTGACTACTGACTCATATTGTTTAAGTAATTAATGTAATGGTGCTTTTATTTAGAATTAATCTATTTCCCATTGTTTTTGAAGACTTTTATAGTGATTATAAAATAATTTAAATAAAATAGCTTTTCAATATTCTTAATTTTTTATTTATTGCTTCTATTTTCTTCTATTTTTCTCTATAAATAATAATTATTATTATTTTATCAAATAATTTAAGTAAAAACAATCAATTTTAATTTAATTCATATAAAATTAAATTTAACAACTATTATAAGGAAAGAATGAAATTAATTAACATAAATCAAGTATAATTTAATTATTACGTTTATTCTCTAAAGTCTAAATTGAAATGGAATTTGTGAAATGTTATTATAATAATTATAATTATTTTTGTTTATAAGAATTAATTTAGTTAATAAATCATGTGGATATATTTGGTTAATAAATTTGTTTTATAGGGAAATTGGAATCGTGCAAGAAATAAGTAATTTTTTTAATATGAAATTTGATTAAAAAGGAAATTGGAGTTGTGAAGGAAGAAGCAATTGCAATATTATTCAATGTAGACAACAACTTTGCAATTAGGTTTGATGTTCCATTAATGAAATAATTACATTCAAACAATGAGATTAGAAGACCTAATTATGCAACTAATTACAAATATTTACTCCAAATTAGTAGTCAATGTCGAGATTAAATTGAATTTTATTTGATTAATTGAAATTCTTCGATTAAGTTAAATTAAGATAATTAAATTTTAGAAATTTAGTCTTCATCCAGGATAGGTTTCTTGGATTTAAGTTGCTAGGTTTTATCGTCTTATCTTTACTCTTAGTTTTCCTCGTTCGTCTTCTTTTCTATCTTTGCTCGCATTTCTAACGTCGCTCGACCCTCTCATTCTCCCGTGCATTTGCCACCATCATTTCCCTTGTGCCTGAACGTCATTCGCCACCATTCTTCTTCATTGGTGTTGTAGATCAGATTGCACCGTTGATCATCCAAACGCTTGTTATTGATCATCAAATGAATGAGCTAGTAGTCCCTCTCGCTCTCCTTCTTCTTCCCTCTCTTTGTTATGACTAGCTAGCATTGAGCGTATAAGAGAAATGTTAGGGCAAGGTCGTATAGGGTGTGTGACGAGAATGATCATTGGATATGCCATTGAGTTTACGTTATCATGCTGTTTTTAAGATCTCAAGTAGAGTTCACTTATTCAACTATGAATGTTATGTTCGGTTATTCAACATACATTGTCAATTGCAATCAGACTAAGTCTAAAAAGATTGAGTCATACCAACTCTTTTTAAGACTTAGGCTTAGTTTCTTGAATTTGAGATTTTTTTCAATTCTATCTTCGGTTGATATTCGAGATGTCAATTTAATTCATGGGGTTATGGACCCACCTCGAATAGAGTGAAAAATCCCCGTTCTCACCACTTTTGTATGCATGGCTGGATAGTGGGAAAAAAAAATATAGCAATACCACTGGCTAATGACATATATGCCACTACTCTCATACATAATACATAGTTTAATACAACTTCAATTTTCATCCACATATTAAAGTTTGTCTTTAATATGCTTTAATTTAAATCCCTCACAACTTCTCTATCTATTTAAAGTGTCATTGCAAAACAAGTTAATTAGCTCTCTTCCTTCCAATTTCTCTTTAATTTCTTCTTCTCAACACATAATTACCTTAAAAAAACATCATGGGATCTCATCATAGCATTCGAATGATTGTTGGAATCTTTGGTATGCTTTGTTTTTTAATGAATTTCTTTGAACATTTCTGTTCAAAATGACCATTTTTTTTTTCTGTGTTTCTCTATGCAGGAAATGGTGCTTCTTTGCTGCTTTATTGTGTTCCCATGTAATGAAATCTGCCAACTTTGCTTTGTTCTTATTGTTTGGAGACAAATAATGGTTTGAATCTTATCTAATTCGAACGTTTTAGTGCCTAAAACTCGATAAAAAAGACACCATTTTAGACGTTTTTGCTATTGGATTCGATATCAACTTGAAGTGGACAAGCATTTGAAGGCATGCCCACATAGCTAAGTAATAAGTTGGGTGTGTTTATGCAGATTGACATTTTGGAGGGTTGTAAAGAAGAAGAGCACAGAGGAGTTTTCATGTGTTCCATACATTGTGGCGCTGTTGAATTGTCTTCTTTATACTTGGTATGCTTTACCAGTTGTGAGCAATGGATGGGAGAACTTCCCTGTTGTCACCATTAATGGCTTTGGTGTTCTTCTTGAGTTCTCTTTCATTTTCATCTACGTCTGGTTTTCCTCTCCAAAACGAAAGGCAAGTTTTTGTCTACGATCCCATTTGATAAACATTTTGTGTTTTAATTTCTTGTTTTCTTTTCGAACATGAATTTGTTCAGTTACTCGAAGTTCGTTTGTTTTAAAAACAGTAGAGGAAAGTCACCTCTACTACTGCAAATTTCTATGAAATTTGGTAGGAGGGGCTCAAGTTTTACTATTTTAGACGATAATCTCACTTGAAATTTTCTCAAATCCGCTAAGTAAAATCATATGAATTTAATATTCGAAGTAAAAACGAATGATCTTAGTGAAACAATGAATATGTTTAAGCTCAAAATTTATAAGAATTATTAATATGGTTTCTTTTAGGCTTAAAAAAGTTCTAAAATTATCTGCAGAAGAAGGTGGCTTTGAGATTGGTGGGAGTTGTTATAGTGTTCAGCTGTGTGGGGATGATCTCTACTTTTGCTTTGAAAAGTCACCATCTTCGGAAGCTTTTTGTGGGATGCATTGGTCTTGTTGCTTCTGTTGCCATGTATGGCTCTCCATTGGTAGCTATGGTAAGCTCGCGCCAAAACCCTGTAGTCAAAACTTGCTTCGACATTCTTGTTTCGTGTTTCTTGTTTTCACTTTTGCTCGGACGTTACCAAACGACAACCTAATTTCATCACAACAGTTGATACCTACAAAAGAGACAATGTTTGTGTTTGTCACTAAAAGTTTATTTGTCATGCAGAAACAAGTAATAAAAACAAAGAGTGTTGAGTTCATGCCATTTTATTTGTCATTCTTCTCCTTCTCTGCAAGCTCTTTGTGGTTAGCTTATGGACTCCTCAGCCATGACCTCTTCCTTGCAGTCAGTATTACCAAATCTCTCCTTTTTTTTGGTTTTTTTTTTCTTTTTCCATATGAACTTGAAAGTAAATTAACTCATGAAACTTTGAATGGATTTGCAGTCTCCAAATCTAGTGGGAAGCCCATTAGGGTTGCTACAGCTTGTGTTGTATTGCATCTATAGGAATAAGGGAAAAGAAGAAGAAGAAGAAGAAGGATGTGTTAAAGAGGCTGTGGCCAATTGGGACATGGAAAAGAATAATGCAAAACAAATTCCACACCAAAATGGCTCTCAAGTTTAGTGATCTCTCAATCTATCTCTCTTACATAAATGCTTCTTCTAGAAGCCAAAGGTCTTTCCGCTCTCTAGAAGCCGAAAAATCCTTCTGGGTTTACACACTGAATGTTTATTTTTAATTTCAATATAGTTTTGTTGAACTCAATACGACGAGAGTGAAGATTTGAACCTCAAGCCTTTTGAGTACAGATATGTCAAGTGACGCGAAGTACAAGATTTTATCCTAATATTACATTACTATAGCGAAGATTCATACTCTATGAATACTTAGAAGAGATAGAAATGCACAAGTAGTAAGCTATTACTATGCTATACTTGAATTTGAAGTAAAATATATTTTCTCTATAGATTTTTTGCAAGAAGCACTAATCAAGAGTACGTTTGGAATTTTTTTTAATTCATTTTGAATTCTTTAATTCGGAACGATAGGTTTCGCTTTGACCGTTAAGAGTAGGTAACCCATTACCTGTGTCTTTGTTTCTATTGCATAAATGCTTTGACCGTTAAGAGTAGGTAACCCATTACCTGTGTCTTTGTTTCTATTGCATAAATGTTAGCCCGCTAACGTGGTAAAGAGGCTAAGGAAGATGCCTAGCTAGTTTTGAACTAGAGCAGGGAAGTGAAGCCCAAAGAGCTCGTTGCTACACGATTAGCTTGGAGAGAAAAGCGGCAGTCCTTCCATGTTAGTTTTGAAACTAAATTCAAATACTAGAGACCCAAAAATGTATTCTGCCCTTAATTAATTTAGGTATGGAATAGACCTTGGCACTTCCCCGCGGCCATTCAACTGTTCTATGTGGTTGATTTGAAGTATCAACTAAAGTGTTTTTGTTGAAATATCACTATGAATTGTCATCTCCGAGACTAACCGGCAGACCCACTCCTATGGATTTTAAGGACACTCTAGAATGTTTGGAGGTCCTTCTGTTTGGGTTTAGAATTTCCTTATCTCACAAGTGAGATTGGTTGTCTTGTTGCAACGCTTAATTGATTTCCCTCCAATAACTTTTTCATTATTAATATATGCTATTGCTTATAAATAAGGAGAAGAATATTACTAAAAGAAATCGAAATAGAGTAGCAGAAACGTCAACAGAATCATACCTTTAAGTAAAACAAAGCATGCTTCCCTTGATTTTGGCCCACAGAAGAATCCCAATGAACACTGTAAAAGTTGAGGTCAGACGCTAAAAAATAAAGAATCTAAGAGTGGGAAAAAAGTCAAGTAGAAAGCCCATAATAATAGAAAAGGTTACTAAAGGTTATCGAACGTCTCTAGGAATCAGTTGACGCAATATCTACCACTCAAAAGTGTGAGTAGATATGAAAATATTATTACTCAACGAAAGAATACAGATTTAAGAATAAGAAAAAGAATTGCGATCGAATGTTCAATCTTCATTGATATTCACAACTTTTAAATAGGATACAAGATACTAAATAATATCTACTAAAAAAATATAAACTAACTAAATCCTGATAATAAAATAAAATATACTACTATTCAAATTCAACTGATTACGATATCTAAAATATATTTCCTAACTAATATATTCTTGAAAATTACGAATATCATATATTCCATAACTAATTCAAATTAAAATAAGTTGCACTAAATTCTGACAGTCTCCCTTAGTGCAAGCTTATTTCTCAATAACTTCGAGAGCCTTTACGAAAAACTTCAAATTTCACTTTGGCAAGTGTCTTAGTAAATATGTCTGCAACTTGCTCATTAGTATGTATTTCCTGCAATTCAACATCCTGCGTTAACACTTTCTCTCGAACAAAATAATCTACGAAGAATTTCTTCCAGCTAGGCTTGCGTATGGACTTTTTAAGCACGACACCACCTGAATAAGACACTGACACATCATTTTCACTGATTTCCTTCTTAATAAGTTCCATGTCATACCGATTCAATCTGATAATCTTCTGAAAAGATCTAATTTTGAGAGCATTTGACAGTTCCAGTCTCAAAATAGTCTTCTCTCCAACGGTCTTAAACTTTGAGGCTTCCACAACTATAAAAGCCCCTTCATCATTTGAGTCCACGTAAAGTCCACCCAAAATATACAAAGCATCTACATGGCTAGGCTTCAAGTCGATATGACCCTCCAATGATTGAATTTGAGCTTTTGGTTGCTCCAATTCTAATGACAAAGAGTAATAATTCATCTCAACTTGTGCAGACTCAGCATACTCCATACACCGGTGAATTACATCATTGGCAAACTGCAAAAGCTTTTGATTTGCAGAAGCTTTATATCCTTGGTCAAGGTCCAAGTTATCCTTACTATGATCACCGAGGGCATGCTTGAGCTTTTGAGCAAGGGACTCATCTTCTTCCGCTACCCAACCATCATGCTCATCACAAGCACCGTCACCGTTGTCACTAGGTGCATAGTCCTGACTTAAGAGGGTATCAAATCGATCATCCAAAAGCCGCCGAGTTCGTGGCTTATCAACATCATCTTCCACATGGTCAACGTCTGCATCCTCAAAAATGTCGTCGCCAAAAGATTTGTTATTAACAATATTCTGGCTTCCTGTCGCCTTCTCAGAATCCTTAGCCACACTAAACTTATTATCCGTTGAACCATCCTCCCCTTCTTCACATAAATTTGCCTGAACTACGAAATCCTCCTTCAAGTCCTCAACATCAAAACCAAATTGTGATAAATCATCATCATCAAGTAGTGCAGCTATTTCTGGGTCAGGCTGGGGCGGAGCATTAGTAGCCGAATCCTGCGAATTAGTAGTTTGATCCAAATTCTCCAAGATGAGGAAATCGTCAGCCTCAGAAGAGAGGTTAAGACCGTCAAGATCGTCAAACGTTAGCTCGAAAACTTCATTTTCGTCGAATCCCAAATCCAAGGCCGTGGAATAAACAGAAGGGTCATCAGGGGCAACAGAATTGCCATCGGAGAAAAAGAGAGAGTCCAGATGCGAAATTTGGAGAGAATCAAACTCAGAAGCGTAAGCAGTGGAATTAGAACTTTGATCACCTGTAGAGACATCATCTTGATATACGGCTGAAGTCACGTTTGTTGACTGGTCAAGAACCTCAGTGGTTAAGCAATATTCCCAAATTGGATCTGAAGAACTTTTACTTTCATGTACCGCATTTGCTTCTGATTCCTGCATCTTGACTCGACAATTTGGTTTAATATGGCTTGGCTTTCCGCAACGATGACACACCACTTTCACCTCACAATCTCGTTTAAAATTGCCTGGTTTTCCACACCTGTAACAAGCTTTAAATGGCTTCTTTGATGACTCCTCACTCCTGAATTGATTTTCATTGCTAGATGAAGGCCTTGAGTGAAAATTCTGTCTCCTTTGATCTTTGTCATACAACACACCTTCTAACTTTGGGGAAAATTCGTTGCTACTAGTCATTTGCTTAATCAATGCTTCCTGATTGGAAAGAAGATTCTCTAATTCAATTGCCGTAGGTTGATTTGCCCACCCTTGTATTGAGGAAACAAAGGGCATAAACTCTTTCCGTAATCCACGAATAAGCTAACGCCGTAATCGAGCATCACTCACTGGCTCCTCAGCATCTAATTCTGAAACTTCAGAACACAGATTTTTCACTTTCAAAAAATATTCTTCAACCGAAAAATTACCTTGAGTTACCATAGCTAGTTCATTCTCTAGAAATTGCAGTCGAGCGGTATTTTTCTTAGTGAACAACTTTTGAAGTGTATCCCATACTTGCTTTGGTGACTTTAAATCACGAACATGATCAATATACTCCTTGCTAATCAAAGTCCGCAAGGTAAACAAAGCTTTTCCGCATTTGATCTTCCATTGTTGGCGTAATTTTGCATTCTGTGGAGTATCGGCTGGAATGTCTGTGTCATCACCTTCAATTAAATCCCACAAATCTTGCCCTTGTAGATAAGCTTCCATGCATAACTTCCAATAACTATATTGGTTGCCAACCAGCTTTTCCATAGCTACACCCATAGAAGCACTCCCACTATTCATCTCGTTGAGTAATAATATCAAACCGTACCAACTTGGCTCTGATACCAACTGACGCAATATCTACCACTCAAAAGTGAGTAGATATGAAAATATTATTACTCAACGAAAGAATACAGATTTAAGAATAAGAAAAAGAATTGCGATCGAACGTTCAATCTTTATTGATATTCATAACCTTTAAATATGATACAAGATACTAAATAATATCTACCAAGAAAATATAAACTAACTAAATTCTGATAATAAAATAAAATATACTACTATTCAAATTCAACTGATTACGATATCTAAAATATATTTCCTAACTAATATATTCTTCAAAATTACGAATATCATATATTCCATAACTAATTCATACTAAAATAAGTTGCACTAAATTCTGACATCATTCAGATTTCAGCAGCAAGACGCAAAATTAGACTACTAAAGAACATTAAGACCAACAGAAGTTCCCATGATACTATACAAAAGAAATCACAGATTAACAAGTTTTTTGCAAGTCCTGTTTCTACACATATTTCAGAACGTAAATGCAAAATAGAGCAGAAAAATAGTGATGGGAGGGCACTCATCATCCTCATATCACGACTGAGAAGAAACACCAACTTAAAAGAAAAATGAAAAGAAGAAGAATTGTCCAAACAAAAGAAAGAACATAAATGCTTATAAGAAGTAAGGGAAAGGAAGGAGACTGACCAAATTTACCCTGCCATCACTGTCTCATAATGTCCGGGAAGTTAACGTCGACAAGCTTTTAAAGTTGATGTGTTACGAACAGTGGCAGCCTGGATGAAGATAATAGTTGAACGAGCAATCGGAGAGACGAGAGAAAGCATCTAACTTGGAAACCGAAGCCTTAGAGAGGAGAAGTCATAATGATTTTGGAATGTGAATTGAAAGACCAAGTTTTGGTTAGTTTCAACAACATCTTCCAATTTAAAAATAATAACTAAAGAAAAGAAACGAAGAGAAAGAAGCTGCAAAAATAATTTCAGTCATTTTCAGGATGAATAAATATAGGCCAGAAAACATACATCCTCTGAAATTTGTTAGTACAATTCATGGAGCACTCCAAAAAGGGAAACCAGTCAGGACCTCACCTTCACTTTCACTTTCACTTGGGAGAACTGTTTTCAAGGTGAATAAACATAAGGGTTGCACACGTTCTGGAGGTGAATGAACGTGGGATATATGGTCATAGATGACGAAAATATATATCTATAGCGAGATAGTCAAAGGAAGTGGTGTATTGGATTTGGAAAAGAAACCTCCGAAACTGA